CTAAGTTGAGTTTTCTGTAGTCAATACAAACTCGCCATCCAGTTTGGATTCGAGTGGGAATCAGCTCACTAGCCTCATTTTGGATCACGGTGATCCCAGATTTCTTTGGAACAACTTAGATCAGACTCACCCATGAACTATCAGAAATAGGATAAATGATCCTATGATCGAGACATTTTAGAATGTCTTTCCTAACAGCTTCTTTCATCACTGGGTTTAACCTATGTTGAGGATCTCTAGTAGGTTTGGCGTCATCTATCAAATGGATTCGGTGTTAAACAATGGTTGGACTAATCCCTTTGATATCAGTCATGGTCCATCTAATGGCTTCCCTATTCTCTCTTAAAATATCTAAGAGTGCTTCCTTTTAACTGGTAGTTAAGTCAGAAGAAATAATGACTGGTAAAGACTCGTTCTCTCCTAAATAGGCATACTCTAGATTTTCAGGTAGAGGTTTGAGCTCTAACTTAAGGGGTTCCTTCACAGATGGGCGAAGCTGGATTCGTGGTTCTATCTCCAAAGGTTCTCATTGCCAGCCAACAGTAGAAACATGATTGACTAGCGGATCTAACTCTAGTTCGTCATCAGAAGACTCCACAAATATTAAGTCAGATGCACTTGAATCTGACTTACACTCTCCCTCTTGTTGCTCACTGGATATTCCCTGAATGAAATTCACTTCCATGGGTTGATCAGATGGATCACTAGGCTACCTTCCTAGGTTAAAGATATTATGGTCAACAGTCATATTCCTAAAAGATAGTTTCATCTGACCCGTTCTACAATTGATCAAAGTATTTGAGGTGGCTAAAAATGGTCTTCCTAAGATGACTACGATTTGACTTTTGAGATTGAAAACGGGTTGTATTTCCAAGACAATAAAATCAACAGGAAAAATAAACTCTCCAACCTTGATCAAAACATCCTCTACCTCTTCTTTGAGAATTTTTACGGATCTATCAGCTAATTGTAGAGTGCATCTTGTCAGTTTAAGTTCTCCTACACCTAGCTGTTAATAGACTGAATAAGGAAGGAGGTTGACACTGGCTCCCAAGTCTAGAAGTGCCTTGTCAATGTGAGTGTTTCCTATGACGCATGGAATTGTGGGACAACCAGGGTCCTTATATTTTAACGACATGGGTTTCGAAAAAATTTTACTAAGGTTGGCAGCTAAGAAGACTTTCTTGGGGACATTGGTAGTTCTTTTCTTAGTGCATAAGTCTTTCAAGAACTTTGTATAAGAGGGTATTTGTTCGATTGCATCTAGGAGAGGGATGTTGATCTTGACATGTTTAAAAGTTTCTAGGATTTTCTCAACCTGCGAGGAGTTTTTCCTAGGTTTGAGTCTATCTGGAAAGGGGGCAACGAGCCTATACCTATCTAGATCAGGCTCAATCTCATGTTCAACGTTTTGGTCATCAGAAGGAATGTGTCGGATGGGAGAAGGGGTTTGATCCGGTGGCATTCTAACTTGGTTGTCTATCTGTTTTCCTGATCTCAAAGTGTGAACTGCATTCACATGGGCTGGTTGGGATGAACTGGATCCATTGTCTTTAGGGTTTGCAACAGGTTGACTTGGGAATTTTCCTTTCTCTCTCTCGCTCACGGCAGTGGCTAGTTGCCCAAGTTGGGTTTCTAATCGGGCTATGGCTTAAGTGTTCGAGTTGAGCACTTGGCCGATTGTTTGCATAAAGGAATTTAGAGTGGTGAATGACTGGGTCAACATGTTGGTAGTTTGTGTAGAATCTTTGAGCATAGCTTCTAAACCCTTTTCTAAGACACTCAGACGTTTGTCATGATCAGAATTTGAAGGATTTGTAGGCTGGTGAGGATGAGGATGTTGGGTTGGAAAAACTGGGTTAGCTTGTTAAAAATTGTTTAGTGCGTTGAACGGAAGTGTATTTCCCCTAGGGAATTGTGGGTTCGACACGAGAATGAAGTTTTGATTTTTGGGAGAATTTTCTTGATTCCATGCAAAGTTGGGATGATTTCTCCAACCTAAATTATAAGTTAGAGAAAATGGATCATTTCTAGGACGCTTGAATGCAATGTTCATTTGTTCTAATGCATTGTTGTTTCCTAGGAGAGGGCATTCCTCTGAAACATGGGTAGGAGACTGATAATTATGACATCCCGGGCCAGAAACATGATTGATTTGAGCTGGAGCTCGTTCCTTAATTTCTAAGGTTTCTAACCTCCGCAGAATCGTCGCCATCTTCGCTTCAGAAGCAATGTTTGACCCTAGGGAAAGACCACTAAAAACCTTGTCATCACAGTGTTCCCACTGCATTGTTTTCTCGGATAGACTCTCTAGGAATTCCCAAGCTCTGTCGGCGTTTTTCTCATAAAATCTCCCTAACGCATTGATTCTAAAGATGTTTTTAAAGAATAGTCCAATCCTTCATATATGATTTGGCATAATCGCTATTTCTCGAGACCATGATGAGGACATTGGATCAGAAGATCTTTAAATCGGTCAAAAATATTTCCAGAATGACTCCCCTGGGACAATTGTAAAGTTTTGAATACTATTCCTAAGCTTTACCGTTTTATGAATAGAGAAAATTTTCTTGAGAAAAACGGTGATAAATTCATTCCAAGTTGAGATGGAATTTGTCGGTAAGCTGTACAGCTATTTTTTAGCTTTGTCCTTAAGAGCAAATGGAATAAATCTGAGCTTGATTGTATCTTTGGTTAATTCTCTCATTTTAATCATAATACACACTTTCTCAAATTCCGAGATAAAAATATATGCATCTTCTTCATTTTAATCATAATACACACTTTCTCAAATTCCGAGATAAAAATATATGCATCTTCTATTTCATTTCCAAGGAATTTGGGAAGCATGTTTATGATTCCGAGATAAAAATATATGCATCTTCTATTTCATTTCCAAGGAATTTGGGAAGCATGTTTATATAATACGATCTAAGCTCAAAATATGCTCCATTTACTTCGGGGATATGCAAGATTGAAGCATTTTTGGTGGGGTAACACATATCCGGAGAACGGGTTGATTTGCCATTTCTTAGATTAGTTCAACACGGATTAAACAATAAGAATTATCCCTAACCCACGTTTGCATACACCAAAACAACTTCTTTTTATAATAAATTTTTTTAAAGGAAAGAAAGAAAATTAGTTTTTTTATGAGAAGAAAAGGATAAAGAAAATTTTTAACTAAAATAAATCAAAGCAAACACTTTTCAATCGCTCTAATTCTAGGGTTTAGCCTAACTCAACTAGACCAGCTCCTAAACAAAAACTCCTAAAGTAAAAAGATTAAAGTTTTACCCGAATAGTTAGCCAGGTAAGGATAGTACTAGAGGGTGATCAAAGATCAATTAAGTACCTCGTTCCTTACGAAGCGCTTTACACAACCCCTAAACCATGCCTTAGACACCAACTAATTCAAGAAAACTTGAACCGGTTTACTTTAGGATTTCTAGTTCCTTATTGAGCTCGAGTCCTTAGGGGATAACGTCTAATGAGTTTTAGCAGGTTTAGGTTTGTGAAGTGAGGAATTAGTGATTTGTGGGCTAAGGAAAAGGTGATGAAATCCCTTACCTTATCTTGATGAGGGGGTTTTGCCCTTAAAAATGTTTTAAGTATGTGCCAAATCAAGTGCTACAATCACTTTGGTGAATTCCTACTAACTATATGAAATACAACCCTAGAAATTAAAAGCGACTAAAAAGGATGGAAAAAAATATTTTTTTTAAATTATGGCCAACAACAATCAAATGTAAGAAGAGAGCTCTTGTTTGAATTTATTATCTTATTAGTTAATGTCCAAGTGAAAGGTGAATTTTATTATGGTCAACAAAAATAAAATCTTTTTTTTAAACCCTAATTGTCTCTAATTGTGAAGCCAACTAAAAAGAGTGGAATTGAAAATGCTAGAAAGAAGAGTTACCTAAAAGCAATTATCCAAGTTCTTGATCTTCAATCCAAGATTTTCAAGCTCTTAGCGGTTCCTTCACAAGAAAACACACAAGTTAAAGAACCAAAATAATAAAATCCTACTTAGCACCGTTCCCCGACAACGACGCTAAAAACTTAATGCGACATAATTATGTACCAAAATTTCAAGTGCACAATTGATCAAGTTATAGTATAAAAAGTTATCGATCCCACGAGGAAGGTGATTTTAAGAGATTATTAGAATTGGTTCTTATATTGTGTGCGTGATAAAATAGAATTAAAGAATAAGTGTGAGAGTTATGATGAGTGAGAGTGATTGTTTTGAATATGTGCAAGTAACAATAAATTGAATTTGAATGAAGAGAAATAAGAATCAAAGAATAGAATAAAGAGCAAGAAAGAGAAAAAATCAAGAAAATAAAAGATGGAGGGTTCAATTAAAGATATGAGAAATCAAGAATTAAATCCACTAGCTAATCTCAATTATTAAATACAAACGATTCTCTTTTTGTCATATTTCAATTTAGATTTATTAAGCATAGATTATCAAACCATTTAAGGAAAGTATAACCTATCAAATTATCATCTAAGTCAAAATTACAATTCATGATAAGAATAACAACAAGATAGTAATCCTAGAATTCATAAGCTTAACCTATCAGACCATTCAAGATAAGCATAGATTATCAAATTCTTCTTCTACCGATTAGTTTTCTATTTGATTATCCTAAATATGAATATTTTAAGTGCAAGAGAACAATTCATACAATATAAAGGAAATTAGATTAGTTTCATATAATTCTATGATTCCTACAAGAATTAATTTCACATCTTAAGAAATAAAAGCAAGAAGAAAAAGAACTAATTAAAAAATTAAAAAGAAAAGAAAAATCTAAACAATGAACAAGAATTCAAAATCATATTGATTCCATGGTACATTTAACTCTACCTCCATCACATTGATTCCAAAAATCCTCAATCCTCAGTTTGCTGCAGACTACAGGCCAATATCATGCTACAAATGTATATACAAAATCATCACTAAAATCATAGCATCCAGAATTCAAAAGGTAATGGGATACTTGATTAGTGATGCTCAGAGTTCTTTTGTTAAAGGTAGACTAATATCTAGCAACATTCTTCTAGCTCATGAACTAGTCAAACACTATGGTAGGAAGTACACTTCCCCTAAAGCTGTTTTGAATATTGATTTGAGGAAAGCATTTGATACCATTAATTGGGATTTTATAAGAGCTATGTTGAAAGGACTAGGATTCCCTGATATCATGACTTCTTGGATTATGGAATGCATTTCTACTCCTAAATTTTCTATATCCATAAATGGAATACTCCATGGCTATTTTCAAGGAGCTAGAGGATTAAGATAAGGTGATCCTATTTCTCCATATTTGTTTTTTATTGGAGTGGAATATTTGTCTCGGGAGCTAAACACTCTTAAGAATGATAGACTGTTTAAATTTCATCCCAAGTGTTCAAGAATGAAGATATCACATCTAATCTTTGCAGATGATCTCCTCCTGTTTAGCAAAGCAAAAATGTACTCAATATCAAGATTGAGGGACTACCTAATGGAGTTTAGTTAGGTCTCTGGATTGAATCCTAATCCCTCTAAGTGTTCAATTTTTATGAGTGGGATTGATGATAATCTGAAGAGTCAGATCTAAGACAGTCTTAATTTTTCAGAGGGAATTTTACCTATAAAGTATCTGGGGATGCTACTCATTTCTAAAAGGCTTTCATGGCTTGATTGTTCTCCTCTCATCAGCAAGATATCAGATCAGTTTCAAAATTGGAAAAATATAAGGTCCCTGTCTTATGCTGGGAGGTTGCAAATGATAAAATCAGTCATTTTGGGTATTCAAATTTTCTGGACAAGCAATTTAATTCTTCCTGTTAAGGTGCTAGAAAGGATTGATAGCATGTGTTCTAATTTCCTTTGGGGACACAAAATCCACTTGGTATCTTGGATCTTTGTTTGTCAATACATAAAGCATGGTGGTTTAGGATTATTCTCAGCTAAGCTCTTGAATTATGCAACAACAGCTAAATTACTTTGGATGATACACCTTAAAAAAGACATTCTTTGGATTAAATGGGTGCACGGCACATACCTGAGGCAAACAAATATCTGGTAGGTGCAGGCTAAAGAATGTGACTCACGAATGTGGAAACAGCTCCTAAAAGCTAGAAACATGATGAGGGATAAGATGGGAAGTGTTGACAACTTATTAAATGCAATTAATGGTAGTTGTGTCAATGTCAATATCAGTATATCATCGGTTTACAGTGTATTTTTTTCAGCAACAGGCTGTTTTGTCTGAAGGATCAGGGACTATATGGGGGTGGCATTACCCCAAACATTCATTCACCATGTGGCTAGCTTCTCTCTCCAGGTTACTCACGCAAGAAAGATTGTGCAAAATGAGAGTGTTAAGCTCAAATCAGTGTATATTGTGCTCAAGTGATCGCAAAATAGAAACCTGTCAACATATCTTTTTCGATTGTTAATACTCTATGTGTGTTTGGAGAAAAATGATGGAATGGCTGAAATTCAACTGGCAGTCATGCAATTGGAACCATATTTTCAATTAGTACAATAGGAACTTGAGGGGAAAAGGCTTCAAAAAGAAGTTGAAGAGAATTGCCCTGTCAATATCTGTTTATCTGCTATGGCAAGAGAGAAATCAAAGAATTTTTTAGCAGAAAGCTCGTGGACCTGAGAAACTATTTTGTGCGGTGAAGATCTGTATATACACAAAGATTTTGAATGAAAATATAACACATCATATGAAAGATTACATTGAGAGTTTGTAAAAGAATGTTGACTGGGTTTATATAACTAGTCTTTGGCTTTCTTGTAACCTTGATGTGCACATACATTTCCACAATTGGTGATGAATAAAGTTCTCATTCATTGACCACAAAAAAACTATGAACAAGAAATAAATCTAACTACAAAGAATTAAAATCTAAACTATAAAATAAATTACAAAAATTAAATGCAAGAAAATAAATCTACTCTACAAATTAAAGTGCAAAAAAAAATAAAAAGACAAGAAAATAAATCTACACTACAAGCATGAATGTAAATCTAACTAATAAGTAATAATAAAGAAATTACTAAAAAGAAATAAAAGAGAAAAATAAAAGAATTACAAACCTTCAAACTTTTCTTCATCTCCATCATCATCATCCAACAAAGAGAAGAAGATTTGAAGTGGAGAATTTTTTTTTATTAATTGTAACAAAAGTTATAAATTTGGAAGGTCTTCTCAATTAAAAGTAACCCTCATCTCCAAATAGAGTTATAAAACTTTTCACACCTCTAACCCCTCACTCTCTACCCCTATTTATAGTAAACATCAGTGAATGAGAGCCTTTGGATTGAAATCTTATCCAAAAGCAACAAATTTTAGCCTTTGGATTATAACTGCCTGGCCGATGGTATCGATGCCCCCATCGATGTTGGCATCAATGTGAGGTCCTCTTTAATGTGATGTTCATAGCTTCTCTTGTATTTGGGCTTGGGCTTTTGGACTTTGGCATTTTTTCCTTCTTTTTATCTTTGGGCTTTTGGACAATTTGGCATTTCTTCTTTTTGGCTTTGGCATTTCTTCATTAAATCAAGGGGCCTTTGTTGAGAGATTTTTGAGATTTATTCTTTATTAACTTGTATTTAAAGATAAAAACAATTATTAGTGGCATATTTATTCATATAAAATAGATAATGAGGGTATAAACTTGTAATAAAATATGATTATCATTGACCTTGATCTTAATCAAGAGGTATGATTTACTAACTTGGTCTCTAGGCGCATGACATCGACAAAATTCATTGATGATGATGTATTGTTACAATTAGGACTGAAAGACAACGTCTATAATTTACTAAATGGCATTGGTTTGGGAGATTTTGTGGCTCTGCATAGGCCTACGTACAGGACGATTACCATAGAGTTCTTAAGTTCTTTAGTTATTGATGCTAATGATAGCGAAGTAGGTGGCCGACTTATCTTTTGATTTTTTAATAAAACTTATGTGATAAGTATGGCTAAGTTCAACCGCCTTCTTGGCTTACCTGAGCAGGGACTAAGAAAACCACCGAGAGAATGGGATCCAGCCCCATTTTGGAGAGCTATAACTTGTGAGAGAGAGGGTAGAGCAAATGATCATTGACCTTATGAACCCTCCAAAAATAAAGCCTCCTAAATTTATAACCATGTTTTCCGATATCTACAGCAGCTCATGGCAAATACTATTTTTGGTAGAGGAGAGAGCGTCAGCATTTTTAGGGATACCGAGGTATTCATGTTGTATTGTCTAGTTAATAGGATGGTGGTTGATGCAGGTTACATTTTATCCAAACAGTTAGAGAAGATTGGGAAATCTAGTGTGGGTGATATTGTTGTTGGGGGGTTGATCACAATCCTCACAGAACGCATTAAAATAGCATTTACCCAACTACCTGTGGAGAATCTAATACCTCGATTGAATTTATCATATTGCACGGCTTTCGGTCTTATAGCTAAGGTTGATGATGACTATTGGTTTACTTTCTTTAATAATCCTATTTTTCCACTTCCTAATCCTGAATATACTAACACTGAAAGTCGGGTTAATTAGAAGCCACATGAAGATAACTTGCTATACATACCACCTCCTCAGGTACCCAAACCACCACCAGCTCCACATACCTTCCATCAAGGTGCATCCACATCTAGTGCATCTACAAATTGGACCAACAGGTTCACCACATTGGAACGGGAGCAATAACACTTACAAGAGTCCATCTCATCTTTACGAATGTATATTAGCACACAATTCAATTCCATTAATACACGTTTGGATGGTTTTGGCACTACGTTAGGGACAATGAACGAATTAATACAGCATTGGCACTACTGGTCCCTAGCTCATGGTTATCCACCTCCACCGTCACCTCAATGAGCAGTGAGTCCCATTTCTCTTCTTCATTTCTAATTATTCCAACACATTGGGGACAATGTTCAATTCAAGCTTGGGGGAATGGGTTTATGTTTCATGTCTTTATGTATGCTTTGATTGTTTTTCTGCATGTTTTTGAATGCTTGTTTTCCATGTTGCCTTTTCCATTTTTCCTTCTTTAAAAAAATAATAATAAAGAGAGAGAGAGAGAGAGAGAGAGAGAGAGAGAGAGAGAAGAAAAAGAAAAAAGAGTACCACTATTTGCTAACCCTTTTGACACGTACAACATTTATTTCACATGCCCCATTGTTAAAAAAAATCTCTGTTTCATGTCCAGTTAATTAGGATGTCATCTGTTTGAGTTCCACTTTGTCGATATTTGACTCTAGACATTAGAATAAATAAGTATGGCTTTTGGCTTATTCCATCTAATTAGTATCTAGGCTCCTTTGGTGACTTGGACTAGTTTTTTGTTACTGGAAAAATACTCGGCCTTGTAAAAAAAAGGATCCTAAAGTCTGTTGCACCGAGTACCTAGCACCACACCCTCAGAAGTATGGTTATCATGTCAATAGGTGTTAATTATGATGGGATCTTCATAATAAATGAAATAAATAAATAAAATGCAATGAAACCGAGTGCTCCTTTGAGACCTTAAGTAGGAAGAGTATGACCCATTGTGATGAGATATGTGTCTGTCACGAGGAGTTTTGAGCAATCAACTAAAAATATATATATAACTTTTCCATACCATTTTCCAACGTTTACGAGTTGAGTTGCTTGCACTAACATACGAGAACTCCTACGGATGCATTTTCTTCAACTTTGAACTTGAGACAAGATTTCTGTTTTGACATTGGGCTGAGTGGAATGATGTTGCATGTGGACTTGAGAATAGTGGATATCGTTGTACTTATTTTCTATTTCTATTGTCATTTCTTTGAATTTGTGCCCTCATGTGTGTGTGTTTCCATTTTTTTTTTTTGCTTGAGGACAAGTAATAGTTCAAGCATGGGGGAGTTGATAAACACGAATATTCTCTATATTTTGACTATGTTTCACCTACGGGTTCATTATTATTTGATGTATTTCCTTGCATTTAGGCTATGTTAAGCTCCATAGTTCTTGTTTACTGCTCTATTTATATATTGTGTAGGAATTACTAGAGTTTAGCGTGGATACGAAGTCAAGAAGAAGTCAAGGAATGCATGAAAAGAGGCTACACTGTTCCCCAGTGTCTAACAACACAGGAGTGTTGAATATAGAAAAGCCCAGAAAGAGCAGAGCGAAATAGAGTTAAACATGGCCTGGTCATGTTGATCTATACAGCCGTGTCAGATATCGGTATTCAGTTATCACGCGATCTGAAGCAAGATTTGAAGTTATATGTTAACTCATCTTTTCCAGAACTTAAAAGAAGAAG